GTTTTTCTTTTACGCTGCATCATCTGGAAGTCAGAATCTCGACCGGAAAGAACCTCGATCAGCAGAATAGATCACAAGTGTGTAAGATATCAAGATAATGGCATGGAAACAAATATTTTTCAAAATAGATCAAGCATAGCCTTAGAGTCTAGTCAAATGCATGTTAAAATCTTATTAAAGCCCGAGAAGGAAGACTAAGGCCAAATAACAGATACAACATCCAAAGCATGCAATTGAAATTCCAGAAATCCATAACACACCCCCAAACTTAGTCAGAAATCACATTTGGCAGGTCTCAAAGTTATTAAGCACAAGAAGATCAAAATCATGATAAAGAAGGTCAAAAGACATCAAACCGTTGCCCTAGCATGGCAAGAATTAAGAATTATATAACAAACAAGTTCAAAGGCACTTAGCATTTTCAAATGGATGTAAAGGAATCAAGTGGAACAAGCTTCAATTCAAAGAAGGGCATTTTGGTCAACTTTGGAATTTCTCAACACTTTTAGGGTAAAATTGGAATTTTTGAAAACTTTGGGGTCAAAACATTCAATTGCATTGTAGAAAAACTTCATGACAAGAATCATACAATGAATGAACAACTTTGGAAGGAATCATGCAACTCAATTTCACATTTTTCAAATGAAGTTAAAAAATTTCCCTTTTTAAACATTTGAAACCCAACAAGTGTGATCACAAAACATTTTAACAATGAAAGCTCATTTTGCCAAAATAATGCACTCAATCCAATCAAAACTTTTAAAGAAGTCCATTTGAAATATTTTTTTTATGCATTGAAGACAAGACTTGTCATTTTCAATTCAAAATCACAAAATCAAATTAAGTCATGCTTGCAAGCAATTTAGACAACTTAGATCAAATCCATGCATTTCTATTTCAAAACAAATGAGACAAGGTGGAACTATACTCACAACAATTAAATCTTTCAATGCCATTTAAGTTTCAAAATGAACATCAACACCTCAACTTTGGAAACAAGTTGAAAATTTCTTTCTTTTTAATTCAAAATCAACTTTAAAATTCTTTTCAAATTTCAACTCAAAATCCAAAAATCAAACCATATACCTTTTTGAATTTTAAAATCAAAGTTCAAATTTTTTTCGAAAATCTGGCATGGTTTCCCCTTAAAAATGGACATCCAATTTTTTTTCAAATATATCAAAACACATGTATTTATCATTCAAGATAATCAATAAATCAATCTCAACATCCAACAAGGGACACCGCCCATAATCAATCCACAAAACTAATAAAATTTGCCCATCTTCCTTCTAAAAACTATACCAACCACATTCCATCATTCATTTCTATTTTGTTCCCATCAACTTTCAATGAACATCAAAGGTCAATCCAAATCAAATGTTTCCAAATTTTTTTTTTTTGAAACCATTTTCAACAAAATTGTTATTTTATTTTGTTATTTTGCATTTTTCATTTTTTATTTGTTTTTGTTGTTTTCAATTTTTCTTTTGTTTTAAGTTTTAATATGTACACAAGAATATATACAAAATGACAATTAACATACAAAACTAAAATCAAAATAGCAACAATTAAAAAAGTAAACAAAATAAAATTAACTGAAATAAAAATTAACTAAAAATAAAAAGAAAAATGTTTGGCACATACCCAACAAATGAGGGAGTAGAGAAGAGTTGAAGAAGAGATTTGGAGCAAAAACGGAGGTTTTTCAACCTCGCCGGCGTCGGAGAAGATGACTGGAGGTTCGCCGGAACCTCGCCGAAAAATTCTGACGCTCGCCGGAGCTTGGAACCGGATCTCGTTGGCCTAAATCGGCCGAAGATGAAGAAAAAACGGGAGATAGAGAGAAATGGAGAGAGTGGAATCGGGTTTTGGCCACTTTTGCGCCAAAACTCCCGCTGGAAAAAATGGTGGTTGGCGGCGGCTTGGGTTGTCCTTTGGTTGCTGCTGGCTCAAGAGAAAGGAGGTGGTTGGGTGGTGGAAAATATATATTTACCTCCAATGCAGCATTGGATGAGCCTGGCTGAGATTAGGATGGACCACGTGCAGTTGGGCCAACATTGACATTGCTCAGATCTTCTGTGCCCCAAGTTGTGATCAACTGTTCCAAATTCAAATTACGCACAATGTGTAACTATGGAATGATAAAATAAAGATACAGAAGCACTTAAATTTGTAACGTAGCTAACAAATACTACAATACCTGACCATTTCCAAACCCTCCATCTGTTCCTCTTATTTTAATCAATCACGTACGAGGCAATCATCCCAATAAGCTAGGTTGTTTCTATCTCCAGTAGGATATCATGGGTACTTCACTTGACATCTCATCAAATAAAGTAGCTATTTTGTATGACACAAAATGCACCAGATTAGACATGATACATATTATATACGAAACAATTTAAATTCATAACTTTTAATTTGCAAATGGAGTTAAATTAAAACTTATATGCCTGTAAGAAAAGCAAGCAACCAACATACTCTCTTTTCAGCTTCCCATCACCCAAACTACCAACCACATGATCCAACACATACATGCACCAGTTGTAAGAACTTATTACTTTGACATTGTCAACGGCCAATAATTCTTGTACATGCGCATGATAACGACCGTTTAGGGTTAGTACAGTCGCACATGCGAATAATACAAACGCCCTTTTGAAGTCATCTCCAGCTTCACATTCTACAACCCTTTTCATCAATCTACCTACAGACAAGGAGTCCTAATATCCACCCTCGTCTATCTAGTCCGCACAAAACTGACGGGATGTAGGCACTGGCACTATACCAGCAGGTAACCCCAAAATGTTATACACTTCAAAGGCATTTATGGGAACACTTGAGGTCCAATAGAAATCCAAAACCGATATCCTCCACATCCTTCTTCTTCTCAGAGTTCAGTTTCGCAACTATTTCTATGAATTTAGGAATAAAGCTTCTGTGGAAACCGACCTTAATCTTGTATTCTGCCTTCTTCTATACCACTAAAAAACTAATAACATTATCATTCAATTTTCAAGTGTGTGTTATATGCAATAAATACAAACAATTCGATTTAACACATTAAGTTTTTCCTTCTTTTATTTGCAACTTTATATCCGGACATTCGAAACTCCATTTCAAGTCTACATTTTTTTATCATAATATGAGGCATTCTCTTCAGTGCTCATTATTTTTCATGCATGCGTAGCTTCAGTCTCTATTTGTCTTTTTAGAGACATCTTGATTTTTTTCGTCAATCCATTCTCTTCTCGGTATTTTCTCATATATGCTGCTCTGATCAACCATAAATAAACCAAGTATAAGGATTTAAATACATATACATCACAAATTACTTTTTATGTTCTCCACTCTCAAATTCATATATCTTCCATTTACGAAAAATAAAAAATTTCATATAACTTCTCAATTTGTTCCTACTTTTTCATGAGTTTAGAAGTCTAAATTGATCACCAATTGTACATATACTAACTGTTGATAATTATACATATACTAACTGTCCTGCTAACATAACCCAACTCTGCTCCTTTATTTTTGGTTATATTTTTTAAAAATTGAAAATTATCCATATAAATCACCGATTTTCCTTTATGTTCTCGCGTCTGAAATTAATATAACTTCCCAATTTGTTCCTATATTTTAATGACTTTACAATTCCAAATTAATGATCAATGCATATAATTATTTGAAGTTGGGAATTATAAAAAACTATCTAACATAATATATTGCATTCTAATGATAATAAAAATAAAACTAAACTTCAAACCAAAATTCAATTACAAAATTAACATTAATACATACATACTTGAACAAAAGGAACACTCCAAGACGACACGTCATACTTTCTTTGCTCTTCGAGGATGTAATAGTGTTTGCCTTGGCCTCAAATTCTTCTTCATCTTCCTATTCATCTTCATCTATCTCCTCTTCAGGTGGCACATAATCAGAATCACTGTCAGAGGCCATTCTAGAACTCTCACCAACTTCACGACTAAATTTCAGAATAGAAGAAGGATTAGGGATACTTTTCTTTTTTACAACAGGTATAATTTTCTTTTTCCCTTTGTTACGAGCTAGAGTCTTCAACCTATCCATTTCAAAACCTAAATTCGATTCAACCCACCAATAAATTTAATGAACCTAACAAAGCCACAGCAATTGAACTTAGACAACCTTAATTTCAGACCAACCACGAAAACCCTCACACCCAACCCTCAGACGAAGCAGCACAGACCTTCCCTTCTCCTTCGCCTTCCCTTGTTCCCTTCTTTTTTGTCTTCCCTTATTCTTCGTTTCAGACCTCCCTTGTTCTTTGTTTCAGACCAACCTCCAAAACCCTAAAGCCTCACACTTTCTTCTTTGTCTTCCCTTGTTCCCTTATTCTTCGTCTTCCCCTGTTCTTCGTTTCAGACAAACCTCCAAAACTCTAAAATCTTAGAACTTCCCTTCTTCTTCTTCTTCTTTCGTTAAAACATTCTTCTTCCCTTCTTTCGTTAAAAATGATGTAAAGGATAAATGGACAATTGCAAACAATATTTAAGGGCAAAATGGACAATTCTAACCAATATACAATATTATTATAATATATACCGTATTTATTATATAATATTTTAATATTTTATACCCATTTAATACAACAGAAACAATGTCTAGTAAAATTTTTTTCACCAAATCTTTTCATTCCCAAATGGAGAAAATAGGGCACCGTGGGAATGAAGGTGATTTTTTGCCAAGCAGGACGGACAAAGATCATTTCTAGTTGCATAGTAGTTTATTTCCTTCAATTTTGTAAGTAAAAGTACATCCCAATATTTTTTTTACTGTGCATTCCAATATTTTTCTATTGTGCATTCTAATATATTCATATTGTGCATTTCAAACATAAATGACGCGAACCATTTCTAGACCACTCATTTTAAGACATGAAAATGACACACATTTTAAGACAGAGGAAAATGACACACTATTTTATTGGCGGTAATTTTCACCCCGAGCAGGACGAACAACACTACAACAAGTGACATGATCCCAAATTCCAAGTCACAATGCTTTGAAACCCAAAACTTTACGAATCCATGCCCTAACTCTGCCCTAAAAGTGAAATCATCCTCCACTGGCGCAGAACACTGTCGTGGTGGCAATGTCGTCGAACGGCGCAGAGCTTCCCCAGGAGCTGCTAATTGACATACTCTCTCGACTGCCGGCAAAGTCTCTCTGCCGATTCAAATGCGTATCGAAGCCATGGCTTACACTAATCTCAGACCCCCATTTTGCCCAAACACACCTTAATCGAAACAAACCACAGAGAGTCATTCTCTTATCCGACTACCTTTACTCCGTCGACTGTGATGAAACCTCTGATAGCGCCTCTGTAATGGCAACGAAGCTTGATTTCCCACCGATTGATTACCCGAACGAGTTGATCGACATTTTGGGTTCTTGGAACGGTTTGATTTTAATCGCCAACGAAGAAAACGCCAAGTTTTTGTTGAATCCAACAACTAGAGAGTCCAAGAAGTTACCCAAATCCCCTTTTGCCCTTGATCCATTTTCCAGTTACACCATGTATGGACTTGGGTACGATTCGTCTACAGATGATTACAAGGTTTTAAGTGTTGCTTACAATGCTAGAGATGAGGATGACGATGATGAAGAAGAAAAAGAATGCGCTGATACATTTGTAAGTGTGTTTTCACTCAAAACCGGTGCTTGGAGGAGGATTCAAGATGTTCCCTATGATCATTCTTCTCTAGAGCCTTACTCGTTGGTTCTTGTAAATGGGTCTATACATTGGTTAACTTGTAGGTCTTCCGATTATTCTTCTGTAATTGCTGCTTTTGATGTAGCAGAGGAGAAATTCCGTGATGTGCCGGCACCTAGCTCAATTGACAACAACCGGTTGGTCTTACATGGATTGGGAGTTTTTGGAGAGTTTCTCTGTGTGCTTGTATGTTGTAATAGTAACAAAACTGATGTTTGGGCGATGAAGGAGTATGGGGTTACTGAGTCTTGGACCAAATTTACTACAATCTGTAAACCTTATATGCACATGATGGAACCCTTATGTTTTTAGGTGGATGAGGAAGTTCTATTGGAAATGGATGGAAAGAAATTGGTTGCATTCAATGCCAAAGAGAGAACATCAAGAGATATAGTGGTGCGTGGCATTCCTAGGACGTTCAGAGCAGGGAAGACCTATGTGGAGAGCCTTGTTTCACCCTGTTTCAACTCTGGGATTGAGAGAAAATTTAAAGGGAGTCGAAACTTGAAGAATTGTCAACTAAATAGGTAAATAGATGGTGGTTTCTATTCTATTGTTTTGTGTTTAGTTCTCATATCTTCATGTTGTATATGCCACCATAGTATGAAATTTTTTATCATCTACATAAATATGTATTCGGTTATTTATGCTTGAGTGACGCAGTTTTTGGCTTTAGTTGAACTATATTGTTATAGGTTTATAGTGGGGTTCAATGATGTTGAACTTAGATTTTTTCCTATTTGAGTGGTGGGGGTCCATTCAACATGGTAAGAGTGCTATTCTTCAATCCCTGTTCCAAAGAGAAAAGCAAAGTTGAAGTATTTTGGTCTTTTCAAGGTTTAATTTTGTTCCATTTCTGGATGACTTGTGTATGAAAGCCCTTCTACGTAATTCTGAACATATTGTTAACATGTAGATAAAAATTATAGCCTCGTTATTGAGTTATTGGATTAGGTCTTAGAAAATAATTGAAGATATTATCGACGCGTGCCTGGTGGTCCTATGGGAGTAGCTTCTTCAATGCTTGCTTGGGTTCAAATTAAACCATAAGAATATCTGGCTAATCTAGTGCTAGGTGACAGAACTCATTCAAGTCGCAAGTTGTGGACTTGTATTTATGAGAATCATAGATCTATTAAGAATAAGAATATGCATGAGTTCTAGGAGAGAGCTAATAAAACAACATAGAAGGAGTATTATTTCGATTTTTGAATGTTAGAAATATCTAGTCATCTTTGGATATTGTTATAGTCATTAACATGATGAGCTACATAACCTTTGGTATCATATTTCTTATTTTCCTTTGTTTTATTTCCTTACGTAATCTATATGACTACAACTAAGGTTGTTTTTCATCTGAGTAATGTGTTTGTGTGCCAGAGTGTGAGCAATGATAGCTTCTTCTTTTCTTCTTCTTTTTTATTTTTTTATTTTTTATTTATATATATATATATATATATATATATATATATATATATATATATATTTTTTAATCTAATACATGAACTGCATAACTATTTTTTTTATTTATTATTTTATTTTTATTATTATATATTTTTTTACAACTAAGATTTCATTAAAAGGCATTAAGGCTAATACAGGTTTATCAATGACAAATTTCCTTCACTCTTCAACACTGACTCTGAAGTAAATATGGTTCTTCCTTGTATGACAACGCGATATTCTGTTCTAATTTTGTTTCAACCTCCATTTCTGAGACAATATTCCACTCAGGACCAATAGCATTCCCCTCTCAAGGAATTGTTTGCACCTTGGCAATTCTTAGCATTGCTTTTATCATAACCATCATCGCTTTCTTATAGACATGGAATGTAGACATATCAATTTAAAATTTCGTTACAACTACACTATAAGATGGCCAATAACTTTTTTTTTAGTAGCTTCTTTTCTTTTCTAATAAATATTGAATTTAGGCAGTGCAACATTAACATTTCTTTGCAACTACACCATTATTAGTCTTGTTTAGACAATTTGTGGCCATATTGTAGAATTTCTAGAATCTGCATGACAATATATTTATTATCTACTCTTGATGGTATAATTTCTAGAATCTGCGTGACAATATATTTGTTATCTATTCCTTGACAGCATAATTTCTAGTATAAAATTTAACTATAAAATTATAGAGTTATAGTGGGATTCATTGCTGTTGAGCTTTCCTTTTGGATAAGTATTGTCGTTGAACTTTGATTGTTGCTATATTAGTGGGGGTCCACTGAACATGGTAGGTGAGCTATTATTTCATGCTTGTACCATCGAGTGAAGCATAGTTCAATTGACACAGTATTTTTAGGTTTAATTGTGGCTGTGCCTCTTTCATTGTGTAAGAAACCCTTTCTAGGTAATTTGGAAGAAATAGTTATTACTTATTACACTTGCTTAAGTCTTGAACTCTGATATTCAATGAGGTTGAGCTCCTTGATTGTGAGATGAGCACAATGAATTTTTCTATGTACCTGAGATTATATAGACAAAATTATTAGCCTCATTGTTTGAATTATCAGATTTGGTTTTTAACAAAATTGAAACTATTATTTATGCATTACACATTTAATCACATTCTATTATAACCCCATGGTGAACGAGGCGTTAAGGCTCATTCTCAAAATGACCATCTGAATAAAAAGAATTGAGAGCTCCAATCACCTCTGTCTTCACCAACTCCCAATTTTGTTGGACAAAAGCCCAAGCGAACCCATCCGGTCCTGGAGCTTTGTTGCCATTGCAACTCCTCAAAGCCTCCAACACCTCTTCCTTGAATCCTCCCCAAATGGCCTCTCAAGCCAATCTCTATCACCCCTTAGATTCCTGCAAACTCAAGCCCATCAAGTAAAGGTATCCAGTTAGCAGTCTGATAAAAGGACACAAACCCAGCCTGAATCTTCTAATAAGAAAATAAATAAATAAATATACAGCCTGAACATCCTCTTCCCCGATCACCATATTCCCATCAATATGAATCCTTTCAATATGATTTCCTCTTCTATGGATGTTTGGTAAGCGATGGAAGAATCTCGTATTCCGATCTTCTTCCTTCAACCAAAGCGGTCTAGATTTCTGCCACCACGAGATCTCCACCATCACCACAATCTTTCCAAACTCAGTCTTGCACTCCTCCCTTCTAGTTGCCTCCATGTCGCTAAGGCCCCTCTCCCCCTCCTTCCTATCCAGCTCAGAGATTTCAAGGAGGATTCTGTTGTTGCACCATTCCAGATTGCCAAGCACTTCTTAATGTCTCCCTTCAGCAACCTAATTTTGGTAGCTAGAATAGAACTCAGGCTGCCTCTAACCTTACAGCTAGTCCACCAGGTTCGAACCCTCTCTTTGAAGTCCTCTACTCAAAGCCACATATTCTCAATCCGGAACAAGGTTCTCCCCCTCCCAACCCATCGCAATCAAGGAGAATTGGAATATGATCCAAAATCGCTCGAGCCAAAGCTACCTGAGATACATTAGGGAACTTCTGCTCCAAGCCCCCAGAAACAAATAATCTATCCAAGTGAGACGGCGTAGGGGATTCCCGACCACTGGACCATGTGAACTGGCCTCCTTCCATCGGAAGATCAAGAAGATGATGAGAGTCAATGAAATCCGAGAACCCTGTCATGGCCGGAGTCCAACTTCATCTTGTGGATCTTTCACTAGGCATCGTAACAACATTAAAGTCCCCTCCCACACACCATGGAGCTTTCCATCTCCTCCTAGCGATCAACAACTCCTCCCACAACCCCCTCCTTTCCACATCCCCAACTGGGCCATAAACTCCTGAAAACATCCATTGCGAACCATCTTCCTCCAAAGTGAACAAGAGAGAGATAGGTGACATCCCCTTCCACATGTCAAATTTCGAGACCCCTCCTTTTATCCCAAAGAACCACAATCCCTACCGAAGTCGCCTCCGCATCAACCACCTCCCATTCCCCAAACCTGCCTTCCCATAGACTTCTTAGCACTATCAGTAGAAAAGCCAACTTAGATTCTTTCAAGCACACCACATGCGCCTCCCATTTATGCATCAAAACCTTCACCGCCTTCCTTTTGTTTGGGTCGTTCAAGCCCCGAACGTTCCAAGACATGGTTTTGAGCTTCATAAGCACACGATGTCTTCCCCTCTCTCCTCCCAACCTTTCTCTTCTCACTTCCTCCTCGTCTTCTCCCCTCATAGTTCACATAGGAAATGAGATTTTTAAGCTCCCTTTCCCTGATTCCAGCAAGGGCTTTTCGTTTGCTTCACCAGGGCCCACTCATCATCTAGCACTTGGAACATCTCATGGACATACTTGTCATCTCCTGCACATGTCAGTCCTAAACATATGGCAGAAAACATCCATTCTCCAGTCATCAGAAGAACCATGACCATCTCAAGATAAATGTGGAATTTAGTTTGCTCAGGTGCATCTTGATACCTGGGACAACATCATTTATTGGGTTTAGAGGTAAACACCTGACCAAGGATCGTGAGGAAGCCCTATAAAGAAAGACTCTCATTTTGTTTTCATCAGTATATTATATTTATCATGAGAAATAAAAGGCAGTTTCAATGGATATATGGATGTTAGTACTGTTAATGCCAAGATTTTTTATCTGTCGGATTTCAAGCTTCTTCTCTTCGAAGATTTCTTGTTTTTTTCTGCTAATAAGTGTCTTCAAGGAGATTTATCCAAATAAATAAATAAATAAGTGTCTTCAAGGAGTTTGGAATCTTCTAGAATCCATATTGAGTTGATTATCTTGTCAGCTGAATTTATTATATCTCTGCTTTAGACGGACGATGTTTTTTTCCTGGTAGTCATTCTTCTAGATGGATGATGTTGTTTCCTGGGAGTCATTTTTCTGACTTGGTTCATTCTGCTATTTTCTGTCTTTTTTGCTACTAAGCTCAAGTCATTGATTTCTTGATATGCTGCTGAATTGGGTTTCAGAATGCCTCGTGATTTGTTGGCTGATATTTGAATTCTTTATGCTCTTTGTTATCCTGCTATGTTTTCTGCTGACTTTTTACTTTGCAATTACTATTTTCAGTTTGTTGCTTTGTTACTTTAGTTAGCTTATGCTTTATTTTTGTTTCTACCATTGCTCTTGTTAGCCTTTTGTTTGGTTTGTTTTCTGTATGGCTAGCTCAGCCTTGTTCTTGTAATTTTCTCATCTTAATAGAGCTTATTTACCACATAAAATATTTCTAAATTTAATAATTACCTTGTGCATTCCGCTAACAATTGGTATAGAAATTTCACTAGGATTCATATCCTTGCTTATAATTTATGGTGCAGGTTGTTTGAGTTTTGCAGCTGATATTGCTTTAAAGAGTAGAACATTGACCTACTCATACCGCGTTAGGTTCTCAATAGAAAATTTATGAGAGAGTAGTCATATAACTAGGTTCAGCCATGAGACCTCATACTATAAATGAAACCTCCCAGGGAATTTCGTAAGTTGATTAAGCTCTTATTCTAGGGCTATCTGCTCGTTGATGAAGCCATTAGTTGGACTCTTCAGAGTTATTTTGGTTGCATCTTTGGAAACCATTGTCCATTTGAAAACATCAACAACAAAAGGTGAATTTTGGGAACTTGGTGGTTAATTGTTCTTAGATTCCTTTTTGGAACAAGTGCAAGAAGTTCTGAAATGATATGTTTATCAAATTTCCTGAGAACTACAGGAACATAAGAGCTAAGGGATGCACCTAAATGGCATTATGCATTAAACATATAAGCAGTATACTCTTTTTATATTTGTTAATATTCGAGCTAGCGTTTTAACTTCATTTCTGTGACCATTCTCTTCTATTGTGGAACTATGAGTTCAAGAGCCGGGCTCCGGGCTTGTGACCAAGTGGGGGCATTAAGGCGCTGGAAAGTTTGATAGCCAGGCCAGCGTGTAATTGGGAGTTTTTTTATTTTATTTTATTTTATTTTAATTTTTTTGTAAAAAAAAAATAATAATAATAATAAAAAAAAAAAATTACGAGTGCAAGAGGGAGCAACAAGGAAATTATGATAGACAATGTCTCTAGTGACGAGTGTCCTTCCATATCCTAAGATTCCTCTTTTAACGGACTTGCTCCTCCTTTCTTCGTTGTTTGAACTGGCTGAACTGTCCAAAGAACTAAGAAACTGTATAATCTCTTTTCAGAGGTTTGAATTCGAGTGCGGACTATGTGGATATATTTTCTATGTTTGTTCCTCCTTGTTATCTTTCACTTGTCCATTTTTAGATGAACTGGAGTATCTGTATGATATTTATGTGATTTTATGAGAATTCATATGTGGGTTTGCATAGGTTTCTTTTGCTCTATGTTTCCTTTGCAAATTGTTTCTTTGATTATCCTTTGATCAAACAATCTTTTGGTTAGGGTTTTTGAATCAATGACTGAACTCTGTAGAACCAGGACAGAACAATTAGTGGCAGAAGCAAAAAGAAATGATTTGGCTTCAAGTTCGAGCTCAAGGAGCATTGAGGCTTCCAATTTTATCACCGACCATTTCTCCCAATCAGATTTCTTGGATTTCCTCAAGTCCACTGGGATTCTAGAAAGACCAATTTACGAGAAGGCCTTAAAGATGTTCCAGGATCCATACTGGAGGGAGAAATTCATCAGTATGCTTGACGAAGGTAAAAGGTTTTAGTTGCGGAACCTTAAGTGATAGCTTTGGTTTTACCATGTAGAAGTTTTGTCATGGTCAGTTAGTGAGAATAGCTGCTTTGTTTGATGATGACATGATTTCGTATTGCTTTTCATGTTATGTTTAGTAATAGTTGGACTGAATTGTAACTGTTTCCCATTCGAATCCTTTTTTAATATATAAAAGGAATATATTTTGGTCGTTGTTTATTTGCTTCTCTATTACAGTTGCTTGTTTCTGGTTGTGCTTCTTTCTAATTGTTATTAAATATTATTTTTAGTATGTGAATGCTTTGTGAGGTTGATATTTGTTATTAAGTATGTGTCGTGTTATTTTGTAACATCTAATGACTTCCTGTAAGCAGCTAGCAAATGCCTTATTTGGTGCCTGATGCTGCATATTTTTATTTTTTATTTTTTTAATAGGTTATGATGTTAGTAGGTTGGAAACACTTCATTTAGGGGTGTCGTGGAGGTGTAGGACACGTGTTGGACTCACAAAGTGTCATAAAATTTTAATATTTTATTTTATTCTTGGACACGACTAGGATGACTAAGATACGACAAGGATACTCTCAAGATAGTGATTTTGTAATTATTATTATTTTGTAGAAAAAGGGATTCTATGCAATTTAAAATATATTATAGGTTAAGTAGAAAATAATATAAAATTTAAAAACAAAAATAACAAATAAATACCTTTAAGCTCCAAATTAGAATTTCATAGATAAATTGAGTAAAAATAAACATTATATGTATAATATATTATCATTTTTGATGTATCTATGTTGTATTCATGTTCGTTTTGTTTTCAGAGTTGCTGTATCGCTGTGTCTGTATTATGTCGTACCTGTTTCTGTATCCGAGCTTCCTAGGTTGGAATTAGTCCAAGGAGACAAATATGCGATCCTAACTTCTTCATCCACACCCATTTACAATATAGTTGCATGAAACTCCCTTCTCATTGCCATTTGCAAGTTGCAACACCTAAAATACATGTTGATCATGTCATTGCCATTTGAAATCCTGTATACCACTTCATTTTTCAGAATTTGAACTTTGCACTTTCCCCAGATGTAGGAGCATGAGTTGAACCCTTAGCAGAACCAGGAAGTTTCCCATTATTTTACTCGATTTCATGATTAGAAGGAATCAATTCACCTTCCTCAACAGCAAACTCCAATGCATCAAAATTGTGGAGAAGATAAGTTGGTTTGGGGGTTTGGGGCTCAAACCCTAACGATAAATTCTCTGTCAAAACTGCCTATGAGATTGTAATTCAAGATCTTTCAAAGACTTCAGAGCAGTTGTCCCAGCCAGGAAACCGTATGCATCAAGAATTCTGGGAATTTGAAAAATGTGGAGGAGATTGTTTGTAAGTCCTGTGGCTTAAATGATTTCTTCATCTATTTTGTTTTTGCTCTTTGTCCAGCATGGTTCGGACCATTTAGATTGGATCTGAGTTCTTGTAATTGGAAGTCATGGCAGGATTTTTTGTTATTGTTAACTCCCCTTTTCCAACACATTCAGTTCTGAAACTGCTGAAGCTTTGAACCTTAGAGAGGGTATTAGCTTACTTATCCACTAGGGTTACCTGAAAGTGATTACTGAAAGGGATTGTCTTGCGGTTATGATTCGTATACTGGTTAATTACACTCACACCCTTTGATGTTTGGTTTATTGACCGTGAAATAAAAGTTGGCTATTTTTTGGACAATTTCACCCCATCAAAAATTTGATACAAGCAAGCCCTCAAAAAGTGAGAAAAGATGATATTGCCCTTCAATTTTAGCTGTAAAAAATATCATACATTTTAAAAGACCAAAACATCCTTGAGAAGCCAAACTCTTTGTGTGTGCACACACACACACAAGGAACTAGGGTCAGCCCCACTCTTACTCACGGGAAACGAACAAAGAACTAAGAATAATTCGAAGACTGTAAATGGGTTTGTATGTATGTATTATAAGGAAACTTAAAAAGTCATGGTCTATTTAAACTTAAAGCGATGGTCTGTTTAAAATCTTTTTAACATTTATAATTGATCAAGGAATCATGATATAGTGATATTTTTTTTACCTTTCAAAGTGGATAATGATAATTTCAAATTTTCAAAAGAGAAAATTAGGTGTGACTGAGGTGTGTTTCTCGCCACTAAAAAAGCATCTATAATTGCATTGACTAGGTTCAATATTACTGGTAAATGGAGAGAAATTTTTGAAATTTGAGCTGATGGAGAAACTTGTAAATTCAAAGACACCCATCATTGTAAACTAAACCAAGTTGGATTAGGAGGAAGAGTCGGCAATTGAGGTCGGAAGACCTATCATTTCATTTGTTGAACTTTAACTGAAGAATTTTAGTATACTTATGAAAACAGTATAACGTGGATTCCTCAAGCAAAACAGGCAGTACATGTAACTCCACGATTACAATTAATCCAACTGGAACTTTATTTGGCAACTGATCATGACTTGGAAATTTTGGCAGGAAGGAAAAGCAATAAAATTCAGACATATTTGTTTAGTAAGCATCAGGATTTGCCAAGAGGTAGGCCTCAACAGCCTTGAACATTGCAGACGCCTTTTCTTTGCCACTCTTGATTTGGTCTTCTGTAATTTGGGCATCTCCTATGGTGTGATATTTACTGTTGTTCTTGCAGATGGATCCTCCATCAGAGGAAGCTTCGATTTTGATCTCGTAACAGATTTTCTCAAGTACGCCCATCAAAGCATCACCTTCGATTATGCTGTAACTATACACAAACTTCTCTTTGTCAATCCCATCAACTTGATGCTTCACGCTCTTCATTTGGCTGCCTGCACATCAACAAAACATATTTCCATTTAGCTTGTTAGATAATTTTATAACAGACTTGTATTTAGGTAATACATAGAGATGTTCCAAGAAATAACTTGCGTTACATTTGGAGCACTGAAACAACGCTTTAGATTATTCTAAACATAACTTAGTGTTGATAAAAGAAACTTGCCTTCGCCAAAAGTGATCAACTTGACTGTTCCAGCTCCTCCATCCCCTTGGATGATTTCAACACTCTTAATAGCTTGCGGCAAGATCTTGGGGATGAGGGTGTCGGCATCAAGGACGAAGGCCTTGAACATCTTGGCCGGGGGGATTGAGGAGGTAATCTCCATATCATAACTGATCACACCCATGATCGATAGTGAAATTGGTCTTAAGAGATTGAAAAGATGCAAGGAAAAAGGGGAAGAAGAGTACCAAGTATCAATTGGCTGGTGAAGAGGTTTTGGTGTGTGGAAAATGGAAGAACTGAAGGTGGTATTTATAGAGTTAGTTGAAGGTTCCCCTTTGTGTAAGTTAAAATGGAAAATATCCACTTGACTGCAAATGGGGTCCTAATATTCCTTATTAAATTATAATATCTAATCATGCTACATTTTTTAAAACAACAACAACATGTTGGATATTAATAAATAATGAATCCTTGAATTTTCAAATCTGGCTGCTAAGAATTCTATGCACATGGCTACCATATAAATAATTGGAACCCCATAATTATGGGGTCCCTCTCCACAGCTTTGACAATGAAATGGTTGAGAAGATTCGAATTTTTACCTGCAAAATAAAATTCTATGATATTCACCAATTCGCCAATAATAATTATTGATGTCTTTGTCAAATTTAACATACGATCTAAATTTTATATGGCTGCAAATATAAGTAAACTAGGGAAGTGTAACTATAATTTACCCTTGAAACAAACCGACACTCTCACACCTGGAGGCTCTCATTACCATCCCACTTCCATTATTATGCTACAACAGATTTGACGTTGTTTGTTCTTTTAGACGAGGCTCATTTTGTTAAATTGTTTTTATATATTTACTTTTCCTGTATTTCATCAAATTTGACCACCGACCCAGTGTATTTTTTATTCCCACCGACCCACTGGTTGGCTTACTTGGAGTTGGAAACTATAGACTAGTTCAACCCAATAAAAAAGTAGTGGCGCCTGAGAGAACTTTTCGTGTAGCACTAGTTTTGACTTTTAATATTCAATTAAATGGACTTACAATTCTAAGAGAAAATATTATTCGAGATGAAGTGGATTTTTATTTTTTTTATTTTTTATTTTTTGACAACAACTAGATAATTAACATAGAAAAGGAGAGAAGATACATTCATGGAAAATAACATTTAACAATTACGGGGGCCATATGCTCCACTCCGAATTCCCACAATCGGCTTCAAGAGCCTTTTTGCTCATTAAATGAGATACAACATTACCTTTTCTAGGAGTCCAAGCAAGGGAAGAGTTTGGACAAACTGAAATAAGAAAAGAAATGTCCTTCAGGACCACTCAAAGAGACACCATTGAAGGTTGAAGACGTTGCACCGAGTGGCAGTCTCCTTCAACCACAACAAACTCATAACCCCAATCCTTCAACAAAAGAAGAGAAGCTCTCAACACCAAACTATCCGCTAAGGATGGGCTGCTAACATTATGTAAGACCACTGATGCAATCTTAATTGGTTGACCCAAATGATTTCTCAAGATAATACCGCCACCACAAGACTTGGAAATAGAATTGAAAGCCGCATCAAAGTTGAGCTTGAGAAATCCCTCAACAGGAGCAATCCATTTTGAAATAATAACATGGGAAGGAGGAGAAGGAAAATAAAGGAGAAGATGCTGGCGAGAGACTTCCGAAAATTCATTGAAATCGCTAAAAGCCCTCTGAGCCACTTCAAAAGGATCGCTACTAGACCTGTAAAAAGTCAGGTTGTTTCGGCTTTTCCAGATAGACCAACAGATGAAAGCCGCCAATCCACTACAGTCAGCGGACTGCGCTGTGGAACTCCATCTGTTGCACATCTCAACCCAACGCTTTTGCCAAGTGGTAGGAAACGCGCCGCTGAAATCCAAACGAAGATGACTCAATTTCAAAACCTTACAAGCAAATGGACAAGTGCAAAGAAGATGATCCACGCTTTCATCAAAATGCCCACAATAAGCACAACCAGAAAATTGAGACACCCCACGCTTAAAAAGCTGATTGTTCACCGGAATCCGTTCATGAAGGCTCAACCAAATAAAGATCTGAATTTTCTTATAAGCCCGAAGATGCCACACCCCTTCCACATATCGCCACTAGATGAATCAAAACTACAAACTTCCATAGGAAGAGATTGAGGAGGAGGATGGAGAATGGAAAAAGCCACCTTATAAGCACTCTTGACAAAGAAACCACCATCAAAAGTGCTGCTCTAAATCTTAGTATCCACACCACCCCGAAAGCTCAACGGAATCTGAAAGATAGACTTGCAATCCCGCTCATTAAAATGTTGACGAACCAAATGAGTATTCCAACAGTGAAAAGAAGGAATAATAAGATTTGATACTAAGGAAAAATGAGCAGGGTTTGGCTTTAATGCCACTTTGAAATCAAGAGAATCCAGAATCCAATTATCAGACTGTTGGGAAACGTGCAAGTTTTAAAAACTTTTCGAGGGATTTTGATTCATAGATCTTGATTCATCACATAGAGACAAGTTTTATGCAAAAATAAAAATATGATGTATCATTCAATTAATGGATTGAATACTTACATCAAAGGTCTGAGTAAACCTTTAAAATTTTCCTCTAAAGTGAATGTTCTCACTTATTGTAGATCCCTTAGCAAGATGCCTTCTCCTTAGATCTCCATATTCTTGGTAATTATTTTGCCTTTAGGAATCACTCATAAGCCTCCATGAATTACCTCGGAAAACTAGGCTTGTGGGAGCCTCCATTAGATGAGAACATAAACCCTAATTTTCTAGAGAGAAAAAAAATATTCCTTTTTCCTTCTCATAAAAATCACCCCCTAAAATATACATAAACCATGTATATTTATAGGCAACATAAAAATAAAGAAAAGGAAATAACAAATCCTTCTCCATCTCTAATTCATATGTCTCAAATCTAATATGATTCCAATATCAAGTTGGGCTATGAGTGAGAATCCATTGGGCCTATTATTTTATTGGTTATAATGAATTAATAATTGGCCCGGTCCATGGACCCAATTCAATTAATTCATAAATTAATTTCTACTCTATTAAAAGAAATTAATTGAACTCCAATTAAATAATAAATAACCTCTAAGTCAATATTGCACTTTGACCCCTCTATGCATATTTAGTTATTGGATAAATAAAGCCTTCAATCCGACTACTTAATTAATATATCTATTTTGGTACCTTTGATTATTTTTGACTCGATCACAATAAAACATTTGTTTGACAAAAATAATAATTTAAATAAATAAATATATAATAAATCATTTTGTCTAAAACTACACGAAGGCCTTCGAATTTACTTTGTGATCAACCATAATCAATACAAAATAAATACAAGTAGCAATGATGCAAATATTGAAAATATAACCCTCTAACTATTAATTACATAACTACCCAAAGTGTCGGTCTAAGGATCCCGAAGAATCCGCCGAACAAATCAAAGTAATTATTAATTAATAAAAGAGTCTATAATTTTCTCATACTTAAGAGTCAAATGCCATGACGGTGATAGGGAGTAATTGCATACGATGGCTCTCGCAATATATCTCAACCTAACGCAGATCTAGTTCAAATCTTAATTAATTATGAGTCCATCCATAATTACCGACTATGAACCATTTATGATTACTATTTATATATCATGCATTGGTTGCCATCACAAACATATATATAAATATCTCTTGTAATCAAATGGATACTATCAATTCTATAATGAATCGAAATATAATACATTGAATTCACCAATTGTATAAAACATAAATATTTCATAAACGTCAGGAACATATGTCACTTTAATCCAAACAGGAATTTGCTATGCCAGAGCATATAAATCCCAACAGCTTCCACTTGCCCTCATAGCCAATTCAAATTGCACCTAACTCCAATGTTATCCAGATGATGATCAAAATTATTGATCAATAATATCTTTGATAATGGATCAACAAAGTTGTGTTCCAATACAATGTTCTAGCCACAAGTACATTTTCCTCATAGCCAATTCAAATTGCATCTAACTCCAATGTTATCCAGGTGTTGATCAAAACTATTGATCGATGACACCTTTATCAATGGATCAACAAAGTTGTGTTCCAATGCAATGTTCTAGCCACAAGTACATTTTCTTGCCGGACAATATCATGTAGAACATGATACTTCCTATCAGTGTATTTTGTTCATCTATGGAACCTTGGGTCATTGGTTTGGACTACTTCTGCACTATTGTCGCAATATAGCTCGATAGGCAGGCTACTATGCTCCACAACCTCTAAATCAGTGAGATCAAACCAATAGGCTTCTTTTGCCGCCTTTAAGGCTGCAATATATTCCACCTGCAGGTTTGAGTCAGCAGTTGAAATCTGCTTAATAATCTACCAACTGATTTCCCTTCCATTAAGTGAACATACACTAAGTCATGAACCTCATAGTATCTACTTCTGATTGAAAATCAGAACTAGCATACCTGACTAGGATCATATCATCACATCCATAAATGAGTATGATATCATTGATTCTCCTTAGGTACTTAATGATATTTTTCACAACAGACTAGTTGTCAAGTCCAGTATTGGACTGATCTTTACTGACTATCCCTACAATGTAGCGGATGTCCTGTTTGGTATAGACCATGGCATATATGAGACTCTCATATGCCGAAGCATATTGTTCCAGTCTCATTTGCTCAATCTCCTTTGATAGTCTTGAAAAACTACTTACTAGAGAGAGCAATCCATATCAATAAAGCAAGAACTCATTCTTTGAGTTATGCATACCAAACCTGGTCAAAATTTTATCAATGTAGGATTATTAAGATAAGCCTATTTTCCTTTTAACCTGATCTTGCAAAAGCTTGATCCTAGGAATATAGCTTACATCTTGAAAATCCTTCATTTAAAAGTAATTGAACAACTACCTTTTTATTGATGACAAAACTTCCACGTCATTATAAATGAGTAGGATGTCATCAATAAATAGAATTAAGAAAAATAATGACATTCCCTTGTACACTCATGATTTATTCACTAAGAAATCTTCTGGTATCTTTTTGTAGATTAACTTGCCTTCCATAGGTATCATCCTACTAGAAAGTTCTACAAGATCCCAGAATTTATTAGAATACATAGATTCCAACTCTGATTTCATAGTAACTCGCCAAAACGATCTGTATCCATATCGGTTCACGCTTCCGTGTAGCTTACTGGGTCCAACTCATGTTTAACAGGGATGTCCATAATGGTCTCACCTAAAAACATGATTCTATCGATTGGATGATAATCCTCCCACTACATTAATGTACCAATGCAGGAATCTGTGTACTAGATGATGCTGACGCATCAATAGAGAATTCATATATTATTCTCAATCTCTATAATATGTGTGTTCACATGTGGTACATCTGGTACTCATACCATATTCTCTAACATTAAGTTACTAGGTATGTGATTCATAATATGATTCTCCTATAGATAAACAGTGAGTGTAAACAATCAACTTTTATCTTTGAGATCATAAAATAATCCATCCTAGTGACTTAAGAGTAGCTATCAAATCTAGCATGCCTATGATCTGCTTCCAACTTACTTGTCCATATCAAACGCACATGTGCAAGACTACCCCATACGTGCATGTGATTCAAACTAAGATTTAGTCAAAAACACAGCTCAACGGTATCCTTGAGATAGACTAAGATGGAATGCAGTTCATAATGCGCATCGATGTCATTAACGCTAAACTCTTAAATGAAAGAGATAATATAGCATAGCTGATCATAGATCTAACCATGTTAAGTGGAATTCTGTTATTCCTATTTGACACCTAAATACATTTAGCGTCAATTGCGGAAAACTGGTACATAATACCCTCATTGACCATATAGTCTTTGCACTATCCCAAGAAATACTCATATCCTCGATCAGATTGAAGTGTCTTGATAAGTTTACCTAATATGTGTTCCACATCAGTCTTAACCTTCTCAGAAAATACCAAGAGTTTAAGACTTGTGTTGCATCAGATAAACTTATCCAAAACGTGAGTAATCTTGCTTGGATGTTCATAAGACCACACGTGTCAGTGTGTACCGACTCCAATTGTCCTTTATGTCTATTTCATCTGGCTGATTAAGCCCTAAGAGTTATCTATCCTTCAAAACAGGGTTCACAAGTTTGGTTTAGGTTCCCCTGCCTCACTAGGTAATTAACTTTCTTTGACCAATCTTTGAATCTTATTTTAATTGATAACAACCCAAAAATAGACATTAAAAATACAATGAGTCAGGAATAACAAATTTTCTCTTAACATTCAATCTAAAAGATGCAACATTAGTTTTTACATCCTGCAAATCTTAAGAGTTTGTGATTATAGTATATTAACCATCTTTCAATGCACCAGAAGCAATAGCATATCTATTTAATTTTATAAAACCAGTTTTACAAAATAACAACACAGTTTTATAAACCATAAGTGAAACAAAATTAGATTGCGTCTAACTTCTGTGCATAAAGATAGTTTTCTAATACTAATATCCTCATACTCTCTAATTTCAGATGTAATACTCCCACTGACCTAACTACAACCTTGGCATCAGGTCAAAAGATAAATATATATCCATATCATCAAGGCTTCTGGATTCCTGAAATCCTTACGATGAATTGCAAACATATTTAGTGGCTCCAGAATCTATCCATCAGGAATTAATAAATGCAACCACATAACATAGCTCAATGATTAAATATATATTTTCCTATGCCACGTCATTGCTTAGACAGTTCGTCTTATAGTGTTTTAGTTAACGGCAAAAGAAACAGTTTCATTTGCCCTCAACATACACTGCCTTATTCCCTTTAACCTTTTAGATACCTATGTTTTGTGCTAGCCTAGTCCTATTATCATCCTTCTTCTTTGCTTTGCCCGTCCACTTGGGCCTAGAAGAAGATGGTATAGACTAGGTTAGATTGATAGGAACGCCCAAACTCTTGATTATCCCTTCATCTGTTACCAATTCTATAAGAATATCAGCGAGTGTGAACTCAAACTGATTCCTTATTTAGTTCACTCTAACAGAGTCGAACGAGTTTGGTAACAAGGTAATAATTATGTCAACTTGAAACTTACCACCCAAGTCAGCCCTATTGATCTCCAACTAATTTTAAATAATAAACAATCATTTTCCAAAATTCGATTTCATACTGGAGTTCCTTAGGCTATCTTGATGCTATTCAAGTCTGATATAGTACTTTAGCATACTCTCCATCTAATCTCACCAAAACATCTTATTGACATTTAACATGATGCTTGAAGAAAATAAAATAATTTGGAGCGTATTCGAGGTAAACTCTAGAATATTGCACCAATTCATCTCATTTGCCTTATTTTACTTATTCAAAGCATTAATGTTCTCTTCGGTATCATAAAGTAAAAAGATTAGGTTTTAGGAGTAGTAAATACATTTGTACCACCACGTTGTGAATAAAATATCTAAATTCCTTTTCTAATCATTATAAATGAAGTCCACATACATTGAAATTAGCAAGCAGATAAAATGGATTAGACATAATTAGTCTGAATATAAATGCATTCATACAATATGCAAGGTGAATTATTAATACTGTCATGCATATTCAAAATTAAAATGAATTTGTTTACCACATAATATAATAAATCTCAATCGAACAAGAGATCATTATCATTATTGGTGAACAATCCCTTTTAATTAATGTGGGTCCCTCAACTTTGTAGCATAATAAATCAACCAATCAATATGTCAATAACTTATCCTGTTGGAGGAGTTCATTATTACTATTGTAGAGATTCATTTGCTATTAGGTGAGAACTTCCATTAAAATAATATGTGGGTCCCTTAACCACTGCATGAAAAATCGGATAACCAATACACCAATAACTTATTCGGTTGGTGAAGTTCATTATTGTTATTGGCGGGCAAATCCCATCATCTCCATATTTCTTAAGACAATGTCTTGTCTATCTATATGAAATAATTCCCGATTATGTTTAGCCTTTCCAATGGATTTAGCTTTTAACATTTAATTGCTCTAAGTATTGCCCGAGGGTCCTCCATCCACTTGCAAACACCCGTAGGAGACAAGAACGCACCTGAAGAAGCATAACAGTGCCTGGAACAAGCCCGAAGGACCCCACACGTGCTCCCACGCGCCTAGGGGAGCTACCAGGTCAAGACACGCGCCCCCACTCGCTTGCACGTGCCTGGGGCGCGTGGGAGCACCTCCACGCGCCTGCACGCGCGCATGGAAGAGGTTGACTTGTGCTGGCGCGTGCTTCTCACGCGCCAGCAAACTGATGACCCTGGCGCGTGCTCCTCACGTGCCAGGTGTATTATGTTGGTGCTGCACTTGATTGCAGCCTTTGATCAACGGTTGTGGATCCAGTTGCATGGTCCTGCGCTGCACCGGATCCCATCTCTTCCTCCGGTCCTGCCTCTTGCAGCCGGCGAGCCTCCGGTCACTGGAAAACAGCCGTTAATTCCAGAAAAATTAATAAAAATTTTCAGAAATTAAATTTAGGCCCTAAAAATTTCAAAAAAATTCCAGAAAATTTCTAAAAAATCCCAGAAAATTCCTAAAGCCTAATTTAACCCTCTTGGACCTTCTTGAAGCTTCATAGCATCCTTTGATGAAGATTACATGGCTTTAAATAAATTTACAATTTGAAATACAATGGAAAAATTAAATTACATCATTGAACTTTCAAACGGCTAAATCAAAGCCTTAATTACAGTCATCCAAAGATAAAATTACATTCAATTAACCTATAAGCTTCATCCATGGCCCAAACACACATCATCATCCATTCACAATTATACATACATCATCATGTATCAATATATTAAATCATACATCAATATATATATATAATTTGGATCCATGATGATGATTTTGATAAAAACATGATCTCTAGTAATGAATCAAACCATGCTCTGATACCACTATTGGGAAACGTGCAAGTTTTAAAAACTTTTCGAGGGATTTTGATTCATAGATCTTGATTCATCACATAGAGACAAGTTTTATGCAAAAATAAAAATATGATGTATCATTCAATTAATGGATTGAATACTTACATCAAAGGTCTGAGTAAACCTTTAAAATTTTCCTCTAAAGTGAATGTTCTCACTTATTGTAGATCCCTTAGCAAGATGCCTTCTCCTTGGATCTCCATCTTCTTGGTAATTATTTTGCCTTTAGGAATCACTCATAAGCCTCCATGAATTACCTCGGAAAACTAGGCTTGTGGGAGCCTCCATTAGATGAGAACATAAACCCTAATTTTCTAGAGAGAGAAAAAATATTCCTTTTTCCTTCTCATAAAAATCACCCCCTAAAATATACATAGACCATGTATATTATTATGCAACATAAAAATAAAGAAAAGGAAACAACAAATCCTTCTCCATCTCTAATTCATATGTCTCAAATCTAATATGATTCCAATATCAAGTTGGGCTATGAGTGAGAATCCATTAGGCCTATTATTTTATTGGCTACAATGAATTAATAATTGGCCCGGTCCATGGACCCAATTCAATTAATTCATAAATTAATTTCTACTCCACTAAAAGAAATTAATTGAACTCCAATTAAATAATAAATAACCTCTAAGTCAATATTGCACTTTGACCCCTTTATGCATAATTAGTTATCGGATAAATAAAGCCATCAATCCGACTACTTAATTAATATATCTATTTTGGTACCTTTGATTATTTCTGGCTTGATCACAATAAAACATTTGTTTGACTAAAATAATAATTTAAATAAATAAATATATAATAAACCATTTTGTCTAAAAATACACGAAGGCCTTCGAATTTACTTTGTGATCAACCATAATCAATACAAATTAAATACAAGTAGCAATAATGCAAATATTGAAAATATAACCCTCTAACTATTAATTACATAACTACCCAAAGTGTCGGTCTAAGGATCCCGAAGAATCCGCCGAATAAATCAAAGTAATTATTAATTAATAAAAGAGTCTATAATTTTCTCATACTTAAGAGTCAAATACCATGACGGTGATAGGGAGCAATTGCATACGACGGCTCTCGCAATATATCTCAACCTAACGCGGATCCAGTTCAAATCTTAATTACTTATGAGTCCATCCATAATTACCGACTATGAACCATTTATGATTACTATTTATATATCATGCATTGATTGCCATCACAAACATATATATAAATATCTCTTGTAATCAAATGGACACTATCAATTCTATAATGAATCGAAATATAATACATTGAATTCACCAATTGTATAAAATATAAATATTTCATAAACGTCAGGAACATATGTCACTTTAATCCAAACAGGAATTTGCTATGCCAGAGCATATAAATCCCAACAGAGACAGCAATCAATCGAAGAGCCGTCGTCAATCCGCCACAACATACCTCTTTTAATGACCTCCTTAGCTGAGAGAATACTTTTCCATGCCCACGAGGGATTGGATTTATAAGGCGCATCCACAAAAGCAAAGCCCTTAAAGTATTTCTGCTTGAAAGAATTAACCAGTAAGGATCCATCCCCCTTTTCCATTTGCCACGCCATCTTAGCGAGAAGAGCAAGGTTAAAAGCCTCCACATCCTTGAAGCCAATACCCCCATTAGCTTTAGATTTGCATAAGGTATCCCAACTGAGCCATTTAATTTTATTAGACTTCTCTTCTCCGCTCCACCAAAAGTTGGTAAACATGCTAGTCAAAGTCTTGCAATTAGATTTTGGAATCTTGAAACATTGCATAGCATATGTTGGGAGTGCTGATAGTACCGCTTGAACATAACCTCTCTGCCGACTTTAGAAAGCAACTCCCCTTTTAGAGCTTTAGTTCTAGAAGAGACTGTCTTAAAGGAAGCTGAAAGCTGCAATTTTTAATTTACCAAGGAGAGACGGGAGCCCCAGATACTTATTCGACCGGTAAACATTGCGTATTCCCAGAGAGTGACAGAATTGGTCTTTTAACTGCGTCGGAGTATTAGGGGAAAAATAAAGACAAGACTTCTCCAAATTAATCAGTTGTCCAGTGAGAGCCTCATGTCTATCAAGAAGAAATTTCACCTTGATAACCTTTGGAACTGTAGCCTTGCAAAAGAGGAAAGCATCATATGCAAAAAGCAAGTGGGAAATAGGGAGGCAACCCCTACCCATCCTAAGGCAGTGAAGCTTCTTTCTTCGAGCTAAGTCTTGAAACAAGGAAGAAAGACCTTCAGTGCAGAACAAAAAAGGTATGGAGATAAAGGGTCTCCTTGCCGAAGGCCTCGAAAAGGAGTAAAACAGTCACCTCTCTCCCCATTAATTATCACGGAAAATGAAACGGTGCTCATACACTCCATCTTAAGATCAACCCATTGCTTGTCAAAACCCAAACGGCTCATAAAGTGACACAGAAAGGACCAATTGACTCGATCGTAAGCCTTGGCCATATACAACTTAAGCGCCATAAAACAAGAATCACCGTGCTTTTTTGATTTCAGAACATGAAGCAATTCATGAGCAATAACGATATTATCATGAATAAGACAGTCAGGAACGAAAGTAGTTTGGTTTTCACAAATGAACAATGAAAGAAAAGGTTTAAGGCAGTTTGCCCGGGCCTTAGAGTAAATCTTGTACACCACATTGCAAAGAGATATTGGGCGAAAATTTGTCATAGAAGTGGTATGATGAACTTTTGGGATGAAAACCAAATTTGTGGAATTAAGACTATGTGGCAAAGATCCCCGTGAATGAAAAAGTTGAAACCTATAAGAAGGTCGGCTGAAGTGGATAGATAAAAACTATAATTAGGTTTATCTACTTCATTCCACGGATAAAAATTTCAGGACGCATAGAGTTTGAAGTTTGAAATTATTATTCTTAATTAAATCATAATTATACATCTCTTTAAATATGTAGGTAGAGTTTTAAGTTTGAGAATCATTATTCTCAATTAAATCATAATTCTACATCTCTTAAATATGTTTTAACAATAGAAGATGCGATTAATTACTATAGTAGATAAGATATTTTATTCCTTCCGCAAGGATGGACGGTGGACAATGATTGTGAGTACTTACTTAATTAAAATAAATAAATAAAATAAAATAAAACAAAAATTCTATGATATTGATGGGAAAGGCGCGCCCTTCTTTGATACGTCATATTTATTTTCTTTTATAATTCATTAATAATGGAGAGATTATTTTTGGAACATTGGCTTTAAGGTCTTGTTTGGCATGCATTTTATTTCTGCCGTATTTATTTTTGGGTTGTTACAGTGTTGATTTTGACAACAAAAGCATATTTGGTGCGGAAAATTAATGACACTCCAACAGAAAAACAAAAACACTATTAATCAAATTATATTTTATTTTTTTTATTTGGAATATTAGTGACACTATTTTTTGTCCTACGAAAATGTGACTCTCAACCATCGATTTTGAAAGGAGGGAAAATGCCACTAAGTTACGGTCTTCTATTACTCGATGAAACTTTTTGAGAGAGAAACTCGGACAATCCTCTAGATCACCATTACGTTGGTTCTTTGCCCCTCTTGATTTCCTCTGCATATGTGGTATGTTTTTCGCTTGTAATCTTGTAAGTGCATCCATCATTCACAAAGAATGCAATAGGTAGTCCCAAAAAAAAAAAGAAAAAAAAAAAAGAAAAAAAAAAGACAGCTTTCTTAGGGATGACAACGGGACGGAGTTGGGACAGGTTTGGCTAAATTTTAGTCCGTCCTGTTAGAAAATTTATCATACCAACTCAGCCCCTACTCGGATTGGGTTATAATTGTTATACCATTTTCGCCCCTACTCCGGTAGACAAAATACCGATTTCGCCCCATATACTCCGTTTTGCAGGATGCGGCGGGGTGACCCGGGTTATGCCACTTTTATCATGTATGAAAAAAAAAAAAAAAAAAAACAAACTTGCCCAATGTGCTCAAATTGGGCTGATAAATAAGTTGACCTAACTTTTAAATTACTAAGTAGTGAATATTACTATATCAACAAACACTTACAGTAAAGTAATAAGAGTCGTAAAAATATAAAATATATATTTTATATGTATAAAAAAATTAAAAGGTACATATATAATCGGAGCGGGATTGGGTCGGGGTCATCACTAAATCCGCTTCCACCCCAAACTCGTTTCGAATTTTTAATTATTTTACCATATTCATCCCAAACTCATATAGGAACCACTAAATTCACTCTGTTAGGAGCGAAGGCGGGACGAAAACTCGTGGGATCGGAGGAAATTGCCATCCGTGTGATAGTGCTTTCTTGTCCATGGAAAATAATCTTTGTACTTATCCAAATAGTAAAGCATGGAATCCTCGCTCAACCTGTATTTTTTGAAAATTTTGCAAATTCTATGTCAAAAATTCTAGAGCGAACTCACGATTTTGGTAATTTCATTATAGATGTTGGCACAGGCTATGAGCCAAGGACAACTCATTAATTTCAAATAAGTCAAAATTTTCCCTAAACATTTGTTAACTGAAAATATCCAATACTCAGATTGTTTCCCATCTATCATTATAGGCTAAAGAGTAGAAAAAAACCAAATCCCTAAATTATACCATTGTGTGTACGGAGTCAAAACTACCCGTACTACATGAAGTAAGGTCCTTAATGCTCATAACTTTCCTATTGGATTAAAAGTCTCTGGTTTCTAGATTTCAAGAAGTCAGCATCACCACTAGGTTGGTGGTCAAATTTGACGTCTAAAATGGAATAGGAAATTATATTATAATTAATTATCTAAATAGTGTGTTAAATTTTGGATGGACCCCATTGTTGTTGGTTTTAAATTATTTATTTGCAAGCCATGTGCGTAGAAATTCTTAGCAACCGGATTTGAAAATTCGCTTTCTCCACTCATGTATTTATAAGATAATTATGAAGATTAGGACCCCCAATCTATTGGGTCAATTACTGGAAATTTTCAATTGTAATAATAAGGCAAGCTTTAGGCTCACTCTATAAATACCAGCTTGAGTTCTCTCATTTCCCACACCCCAAAACCGCTCTACAAGCCAATCAATCCTTCACATTCTTCTTCTTCTTCCTTAAACCAATTTCGATATCATGGGTGTGATCAGTTATGATATGGAGGTTACCTCCTCAATCCCGGCTGCCAAGATGTTCAAGGCCTTTGTCCTTGATGCGGACAACCTCATTCCCAAGATCTTGCCACAAGCAATTAAGAGCGTTGAAATCATCCAAGGAGATGGTGGAGTTGGAACTGTCAAGGTCATCTCTTTTGGCGAAGGCAGCCAATTCAAGAGCGTCAAACACCAAGTTGACGGGCTTGACAAAGACAACTTTGTCTATAGTTATAGCATCATCGAAGGCGATGCTTTGATGGGTGTGCTTGAGAAAATCTCCTACGAAATCAAGATCGAAGCTTCCTCAGATGGAGGATCTGTATGCAAGAACAGTAGCAAATACCACACCAAAGGTGATGTTGGGATCACAGAGGACCAAATCAAGGGTGGCAAAGAAAAGGCCTTGGGAATGTTCAAAGCTGTTGAGGCCTACCTCTTGGCTAATCCGGATGCCTACAACTAAATACAGCCTTAATCTGTATACTGAAGTATATGGTTTCATGAGTGTGCCTTTGCATTATTACTTATACGTGTGCCTTTGCGTTATCTTTTTTTAGATGCCTTTACTTATACGTGTGAATAAAAGAATCTTGAACTGCGGGGAAAAAACTCCATTGAGGTTGTAATCATCCAGTTGTTTGTACTTTTTTTTATCTGATTGAAGTGTTCAGTTTCTTTTGAATTACAAATTTCCATGCTCCATTTAAAGGATATTTCTTTCTTTATTCAGCTACCAATTCATTTCCCATTCCGACACTATACAGACACCATTAGAGTCGGTAAAATGAGACCACGAATGGTGAAGTCGATATGATAGTAATAGATGGAAAGCAATCTAATTAATTTATTTTCCATTTGAGTGGAAAAAAATTAACTAATTTGAAAATAATGGCTCGACCTTAATTACCTAACACACCTTTGTTTCATAATTAAAATGAACATACCAAAAAGTTAGTTCCCCTCTAGATTTTTTTTTGAGAGACTCGCAATATTTTGTTTCGGATAGAAGGTATTCTTTTTCGCCTTGGTGCATTAAACTAGAAGTTGCACGATACCCCCCCTCCTCTCTCTCTTTTTGGAGCAACATATAACCTATATTTATTAACTTGTTGCAACTTACCCTCTTTAATTGTAATGAAACAAAATTACATAAAGACCCATAATATATAAGAAAATTGAATTAATATATATATATATTAGGAAAAAAAAACCTATAACTAAACTAGTTGAATAACAAAGCTAGTTGACACATATAAGTAAAGTAATAATGGAACTAATTTCTATATAGAATATATATAATATATATATTGTTTTTCACGACAAGAATAATAATTTATTTCATAGAAAAATAAATTGATTACAAGCTTATCCCGAACCTGAATACCATCCAGCAAAACATTAGTAAAAGCAAACTCACCATGTAACCCCAAAGCCAACTGACCAACTGACCCACCTGATGGGCCAAGTCATTAGCTTCATGAGGAACAAAAGCTACTGAGAAGAATTGATGAATGAGAAGAATTGAAATCATATCTTCAACCACAACACATAAATGGGGAGGACAAGGACTTGACTTCATAATAGCTTTCACCACCACTTCTGCATCAGTTTAAAAAATAACTCTATGGAAACCCCATTGTAGCGCTTGAAAAAATAACTCTATGGAAACCCCATTGTAGCGCCTGAAGCAATCCCTTTCTTATTACCAAAGCCTCTACAAGAGAAGGATCCGAAACATACGGGAAAAGAAACCCAGCTCCTCTCAAAACAGAATCAGCATGATTACGAACCACAATACCTCCTCTGGTAGTGCAAGAGTTTGCAAACAAATGCATGCAAACAAACTCTGCAAATTATCCGAGGGATCTCGAATGAACCAATAGTGAATCTGTTCTCTCCACCATGCATCCCATTACCTATATGACACATTCCCGCAATCTATATATATCAAGTTTAGAAGCATTTCAAACTTGAATAGAATAAGGACATCAAGAAAACAACTGACTCACTGTCTCCGGCTCCAAACGACAAACCAAACAAGTCAGATTGGTGTCACTCTAGTCAATGCACCTAATTGCGTGCAAAATAAGAGTGTAGTGTGGCCAAGTTTAAATTTTGAGAATGCCACTACCACTTCTAACTATAAATATAGTTAGGGTGAGTAGGGATCGTCCCAAGGGAAAGGAGGCGTATTTGTACTTGGAGATCAATGTTGGATAAGTAGGTCGAGTGATCGAAGATGTTTTGGTTGGTTAATTAAACTACAATATAAAGTAAATAGATGCAAAGTAAAGCAATTGAAGTAGAATGGAATGTAGAGAATATAAGAGAAAGGTCTTAGGACTTAGAGGTCACCACTAAACATTACCTTCCTAGACGCTCAATGTGTAATGATTGAGGGGGGGATTATGTGTTGTAATACAAGTGTGTGTCATTAATTGAATTAACAAGCATAGGAGACTAAATAAGTATACATTGTCTAACCAAACTAATGAATAGCACAACATATCAAATTAAGCCATCATTCCTTCCTTTAAGTCTACAATCAATGAACATCATCAAATCAGAGAAATATACTACTTGCATTCATAAGTATGAAATATCAAACAAGTATGGATTGTCCACCTATCTAAGAAAGTAAGGCAACTACACTACAATTAAGCTAGTGAGATGTATATTAAACTAAGGGTGTGATACAATCCATCAAGAAATAAGTATGAACTATCAAATAAACATCAAGAGTATTCCATTTAAGCACCATGCCTTGACTATCACTAGATTCATAATATTAACACACATAGACATGCATCAATGTCACTAAACCTAGAGATAAACACATGAATATCTATTCTAGCATACATAGACATATGAATAGAATGAAATGATCAATTGAAAGTATTAAACTACACAAATCATTGTAGAAACAAGATTCATATACATATCAAATGTCAAGACAAGAACTACAACACAAAGTCTAGGAGGCATGCTTAGGGCTATCTCTAGCCTCAAGAGGATGGTTTAGCCACTCATTGATGTAGTCATCCAACCCTCAAGGGCTATCTCCATGGTAGAAATGATCTTCTTCTCCTTGATGAAAACCCTAGATGAGTGAAAGAACTCCCAAATAGTGTGTGTCTCTCTAATCTCTAGACTCCTCCAACCTCTCTTGTAATAGTTCCTTTCTAAAATTGTATCTAAAGTTATATATCATGTAAAATGGCCCAAAATCCTTATATAGGAGCTCCAAATGATTGCACCACAAACACACCTTTTAATTGGCTGGAACTCTGTTTTTCTCGCACTCGAGGAGATCGATCACAAGGATGGTTCGATCGATTGAACTATGGCGGCGCCTTTTTGGAATAATGACAAATCTAAGATATTTTTGGGATATTTTGGGAAAAGGACAAAAGTGGTAGGTTGGGATAAGATCGAAGGGGTTCGATCGATCAAAGAAAATGTTGGATCGATCGAAGAAGATATTTTGCTAGGGATAAGGACAAAAGGCTCGATCCATCTTGGTATGGTTGGAACGATCACTGTGTGATTGATCGGAGCTTGGTTCGATTGATCGAAGATGGCTGTTTCCCACCACTTTGCTTCCATTTTGCTCATTTCTTCCACTAAGCTTGAGATTGTATCTTTTATTCTCTAATTTAGCTGAATTGACTTATTTTGGGAATAAGTGCTTGAAAAGGGAAATAATATGAAATTAGACTAAAACGGCAAAATAAGATAGAATAAGGTCCTAGAATACTCAAATTTAAGGGGTTTAAATGCGCATTTTTCAGCGCTTATTCCACTCCCAAACTTAAATATTGCTACTCCCTAGCAATGAACTACAAAGGAATAGAAATGAACAACTATACAACTATGAACTAGAAAGCAATAAATGGATAACGCCACTTTCGTAAGGAACACGATTGCATTTAGCACATGCAACAAGCCTTTTGAACCCCTAGGTTACTCCTAGTGGACGATTGAAGTCTCATGAGGGCTTCCAGAAATGATACCCATAAGCATTAAGCTCATTCTCACAAAAGAGGTACTAATATTTCAAACAAATATCGGGAGAAAACTACTTCAAGTATGCAATTTTTCAACCATTTCCAAGTAATCTCCCAAAATCTCAACATTAAACAAACAAATATGATCCTCCACGCATCAAGAAAATGATCATGCAAATCAAAACAATTATAGAATCCTTTTTAAGTGAACCAGCATCAAATATGTTACTGTTTAAGCCAACTAAAGAAATAATCACATTCTTACCCTCAAACTAGTACACAAATCTAGTACCGATCATCAAGACAAAGAGTGGACCTTTTATTAAAACTTTATTAATCTATGTGCGCTTATTCTTTTCATTCGATTTTTATTTTATTTTATTTTATTTATTTATTTTTTTTTCTATCCCTAAGGATCAAAGATGGAAGCATAGTGCAATGTGTTAATCTATTAAGCTTTCTAGTGATCTATGAGGTTGAGCGTTAGATTAATGACTCCCAAACCGGACGACTTTAGGGCATTAGGTGTTTAAACACCCCTAAGGACTTACAAGCTCAAATCAATTAGGCTATAAAATTAAAACAACCTCCATCTAATCATTTCCCACTTCTCACCTTTTGGGAGAAGTTCTCACTTTTTTATTTACTTTTGCAACAACTTTTATTTATTTATTTATTAAGTTATTAACCTAAAGTTTGGGCCCTCCATCTTTCAGCGTGAGAAATTCAGTGCTTGATGAGGCTAAAATCCCGGCTACTTAATGAAAAGGGTTTATTATCCACCTTTATCGAGAATGAAAGTTTTTAATGCACTACTAGCTCAATTGGGATATAACCAAATTAATAATCAACAAAGCATGTACCTTACAAATGAATGCTAGTGTGCGCCTGTGCTAGTATAGAATCCTATAGTGAATCTCAAAACAATCACAAAGTCAAGATGATATGGATCATAAGTGCAAGCAAGATATCAATCTTTCGAAAAATTTACTCCTAAATAGTATCCACAAGGCATACAAGGAGTATTGGACTCTTAAGTCAAGTAATTTTTAAATCCTAAGCAATACAGTCCTCAAAAGATCGAAATCATAGCTAGTTATGGACCAATCATAAAAATCCCTCAAATACACAAGTCATGCTTAAAATTTTGAATTGAATGCAAGCAAAGAACACACATTACCTTCAAACTTAAATGGCATAATGTCCTCAATGTGCAAAAAGAACAAAAGGAAGAGGAAAGAGTATACCAGTGCAGCTATCACTACAAGAATTGTGGGCTTTTACGATATAGTATTTACGGGGCTTCTTTAATTTGCCTCATGATTACCACCATTTACGGAGTTTTTAAAAGAATCCTCGTAATTGTTACGTTATAGGACATGCTTTCACGAGGATTCAGTAGAATCGTCATAGAAAAATATTTTTACGGTGTATTAAAGAGGTGGTGAATATTTAGATATATTTACGGCATATTTGTATACTTTTAACGGTATAAATGTTTCTCGTTAAAAATTTCACATTTAAGGCCTTTTTTTTTTTCCCGTAAATAAGCAATAACACTTGCCCACCAAATTGAATAGGCGCAATTAATAAAATTACTTAAAAAATATAGTTGGAAAAATGAATTTAAGTTATTTTACAGTGTATTAAAGAGCCCGTGAATAAATTTTACACTTAAGGCGCCTTTTTTGTGCTGTAAATAAGTTCCCACCAAACTGCCAAAAGTGGCAAAGTAAATAGCCGGACAAAAAAGGAAAAAACCCACCAAAAAAACTTTCCCACCAAAAAATTTCACTCCCTCGCCAAAGTGCCAAAGTGGCAAACTAAATAGGCGGACAAAAAAAGAAAAAAAGAAAAAACCCATTTTAAAGTTTTTCTTCCCAAAAGAAGCTTCAACGAGAGTGTGGAAAGAGAGAGACCTGAATTTCTTATCTATCGATTTCTTTGGACGAACCGTGTTGATGGCAGTAATTTGAGGAAAGAAAGCTTGATTTCCTAAACTCATCTTTCTCAGATTGGACTCCCGACGGTGTCGATCATCAGCGAAGAGGTTAGGGTTTTCAACCAGCGACCAAAAATTGAAGTTGAATCGAGCCACCATGGATGACGGTACATACCTTGTTACAGTTGCCTCTCATCCTTTCCATGTGTGTGTGTGTGTGTGTGTGTGTGTGTGAACTGATTCCTAATTTGATCTATTTGAACGAGCTATTTGTTTATACCACCTGCAGAAGAAAGTGCTTGAGATTGATAGCTTAATAGAAACATCTGAGCAGTTGCTCGCAGTCAGATTATTTCTTATTTTCTTTTCAAATCCATAGATACTAAATCTTTCACTTCTAAAATTCAATCGGATTAATTACATCTCCTAATTTTGCAAAGGTTTCATGAAAGCAAAAAGGGGAAATAAACAAATTTAATTTCCAAGATGAAAATAAAATTTATAAATGATGGGTTATCTGTAAGAAAATAAGCTTTGGAGCATCAATTTTAAATCATGAAATTTAGAACACAATTTAATTTCATATGAAATCCCTAAAGTGTCAAATTTATTCTGAAAGTAGTGCCTCCGTAGAGGGCGGATCTGTAAACCATAGCTAGGTTAAAATGTGTGTGTAGCTAGCAATGGGATCCAGGTAACGTTGCATATGAAAATGTATTAAAAAATATTAGAAATTATAGAAATGTTCACAAAAGAGGATTAAGCATCCTACCTTATCTTGACCTCCTACATCCCAAACTGTGAAGCTTACATTTTTGTATTCAACAGTTTCCACATTAAAGCCTGGAGCATAAAATATTGATCAAATTTTAATGCAGTGACAAAATTTAAAAGCCGTTTTTATAAGAGCAGACCAGTGTCCTGTGCGACTAATACAATCTGATTGCGAAGTGAAATGATTCGATCGGCCAGATGTTTGGGAATGAGACCTCTGACTGTAGTTTGAAGATCAGATTGTGCGGGAAGACGCATTGGTGTGACAAAAACAGCGACTTAGGGGACATTGTTCTTTTTCTTGCTTCCAGCTATGGAAGATGCACACCCCATTGTTGTTGCAAGGGACTAGTTTCCTATATAACATCCTACATATAATAAATTCATCATCACAGAATTCTACATTTTACACCAATGAACAATGCGAAACTGTGGAAAAAAAAAAAACCCAAAACTATTTGGGCAGTAACAGCTAATTAAAAGGAAGAAGGAAAAAAAAAAAAAAAAAAAATTTAAAAAATGAAAGGAGTTGATTGAAATTAATGAGAAGCTAAAAGTAGAATAATATGAATTTGGAGAGTTAAAGCAGGCATGTTCTTGTAATTGGCAAGGAGACCAACACACATGTACAAGTATAATACTGTAGATAGATATATGGAAAGAGCAAGTAAAATAATAATATATAAATGAGCAGAATAATGAGAAAACACTTACTGGCTTATGATAGGAGAGAGCGTTGTGAAGCCTCGAGGATGGAGTAGGGATATTGATATCGCCATTGGATTTAGAATTTAGAGAGAGAGAGAGAGAGAGAGGAATCTGGGAGTTGGTAGCTAACTAGGGATGGGATGGAGCTCAGAAACCGTTAAAAGAGTCACATGGCAAATGGCGTGGGATTGAAGAGAACCCAATTAATTTCAGCGACGTTGACGGAAACCCAAGTAATTTATTTATTTTTTCCGAAGATAAAAGAAGAGTAAATAGAGGAGTTGTGTTTATGTGTAAAAGTTGACCATGCCAACAAGTGACTATAAATCCTAAGACGGTAACTAAGTGGTACTTTTTCACTAGATGCTTACGGAATGAAAAAAAAAATGTCAATGAATAGTTTGAGCAATTCATTATAAAATCAGTTCCTTGAAATGTTATTATTATTTTTTAATTACATTGTTCATGTTTATTTCTGGTTATTCGAATAAGTTTATACATAGAAAAGATGGGAGGATGATATTAGATGGTCGGTTATGCATTCCACTTTGAGCTTCATTTACAGAGTATACCGCTTATTACTGTGCATTTTTGTCAAAGAATCTCATTTTCATCTTTAACATTTTGTGGTTATGTGTGTGTTCAATCTTCAAAACCATCAAATTGATGAATGTGTTGCAATACGTCTGTCAACAATTTAATCAGTCAATTCATTTGAAAGTGAGGAGATGCGAACAGAGTTGCTTTAGAAGAATATATATATATATATATATATATATATATATATGTTTTTGGGATTTGGTTCTAGAGTTTGATCTTACTTTCAAGAAAGTGCCTTTGTATCTTTACTCATTATCGATTTGCTATGCTTTTGATATCAGATTGAAAGTGGTCAGCGAGAATCAAGTATAATCACTATTTAGGGAGCTCGGTGTACCTCACTGCTGATAGCAACTAAAAATTCAGGTTTCTTTTGTGGTCAAAAAGGTTCTATAAGAGATTTAATAAATATGATACTAAAATTGATCTGTATCCATTTACAGATTACATGCCTTGATTGCTGCTTTAGGTGAAAATTTATGAACATTGTGGAGTCTACAAATCGAAACAATGGGTTCATTGATTGTGCAGCCTTTTATTTACTCCCCTCAATGTTGACAGGAGTCATTCTGTTTATTTTTAAATTACATTGTTCATGTTTATTCATTTAAAAAAAAAAATGTCAGTGAATAGATTGAGCAATTATTTGGAGTGGTAGAGGATGGTTGAGGATTTTGTGCTAACCACAAGCTAAATAGTTTGACCAATATTTCCTGTTACACTATAAAATCATGATGATTACACCTCACAGTGCCAATGAATTTCTTGTTTGTAGTTGATGTATGTTGTGTTTACTGATATCAAATACTGAAGTTTTTGTTCTTTATCTTAACTCAACTGAAGTGACTTCGTTTACTTGCTCTCATTTCCACTCTCTGTAAGTGAAGTAGGTCTTTGTGAACACAATGCTTTGAGATTTTTGTGCATCACTAATTCATCTTGCATTAATCATGCACGCATTTGGTGGTAGAATACTGATTTGTTATTTTTTGCACAACTCTGACTTTGCGAGATGAACTAAATTTTTGTAATTGTGTACAAAAACTTTATACCTATGAATTATATAACATGTGATGTAGTTGAAAGAGTTCAGACAAAAAGGACAAGCGTGTTAAAGAGATTTGATAATATATTAACAAGTCAGTAAATGTGATCTTATAACTAGATGTGTTTATTTTGGTGAACAATGAGGGGAGAGCTTCAACTACCTTGCTACAATCTTGTTTTGCAATTATTTTCAGGCCTTTATCTTTGCACATCGTTGTTTTTTACAGTTGTTTCGCATTGACATTTTTCTCTCTCTTTCACAGTGATTTAGAGAAAAGATAGCAGAAAGAAGAAAGTCTTTGCAGGAACTTACTTCCTGGTGCTACAAGGTCTGTGTCATATCATTGTTGCAAAAAGAAATTAAGTTATCTTCCCGGATTTGCTTTTGGTTCCTCCTTTTCCTCTATCATTATAGCCCTTGTCTTTTAATTATGTTTGCAGTTGGCCAATGACCATGAAAAGGATTTAAAATTTTCTTTCATAGAATTATATGGACTAGAGTATTTCTTAGCTTGAATGCAAGTTTGATGTATTATTGGTCGTCAATAAGACATGGCCTATTAATGTGTTAAAAGACAAGATAGGCTAAAATAATAAATGAAAGGCCAAACCACGTAGAAATGCTGAAGGAAAACACAACAGCCCCTCCCATTTAAATCAAGTAGATGATCTTTAGTAGGCCAATGTTCAAAGACTAGACATTTGCAGCAGGTCTTGCAATGAACACCAAGAGAATATGACACATTCAAAAAATCTGCCTTGTAATTTTAGAAGCTTTAATAATAATAGGGGATTGTTGTTGAACTCCAGATTTTTGATATCTTCTACCAAGAATGATCAAACATAGCAAAGACCCTTTTCTGCCTTTTCAATACAAAATGCATGTATAGACCACCTAATAAAGTTAAGTGCTAATAAGATTTATACTATATATCAATTTTTTGTTCTACAATCTGAGAGGAGTTATTTCATTACCAATTTACTCTTTGAAAAGACCCTTTTCTGCCTTTATTCACATTATCATGAATATAGTTATATATTCTTCTTGCTAGAATTTTGACAAATTTTTTTATCTTTTGTGATTGGTTACTAGACAAAATAATTAAGCAAATAGTGATACATAAAGAATGGATGCACATGACTTAGAGGTTATTATATGTAGTGGAGTGTGCTTATAAAAGTTAATATTGTCTACACTAATTTTATGTTTAATTAAATGTTAAAGCTTTAATTTTATAGAGTAGATCTAAAGTATTTAGAAAGAGCACGGAGGTTTGCTGATCAGGCGCAAGTGAATGCGGGCCATCCAGAAAAGATTTTATGCCCTTGTAATTGTTGTCTAAATGCAAAGCACCAACACTTCGACATGGAGTTTAGGCATTTATTGGAAAATGGAATGGATCAATCATACACGATCTGGTACTTTCACAGGGAAAATTTGAGTGAATCTCCCCAACATGGAAGTGATGAATCATAATTGGATTAGAGATGATAATTAGAATGATGATTCAAGAAAAACAAATTGATTAGAAATCTTGTTATATATATATATATATATCATGCTATACAAGTTTCAATTTGGTGCTGATTGGATAACAGATTATAAGTAGTGATGAAGGGTCTCTAATCATTCATAATTTCATTGTTGGCATTGAATTCTTGTATGTCTAGTATCTCAACTCTGCGATTAGTCTTGTTCCTTATCTTGATTGCCACATCCCGTGGGATGAATTTCCCACACATGCTTACCCTGCTCTGCTTCTTCTCTGTCAAATGTGTCTCCACCTCTTCAATTATATATATATAAAGAAATATGTAAGCACACACATGTATACATACATATAAGATAACTTGCAGGAAATGGACAAAATAGACTTTAATTTGCAATTACCAAGATATGTTCTATGGGCTAATAAGTTAAAATATTATTCAAGATCTCAATACTTAGTTAAACTCTTCTTAGAAGTTTCGTATATACTTCTAAAATAATAAATTGCGTCACACATTTTTCCAATTCATTAGCCTCCTACCCTTACTTTGTAGTCATTCCACCACTTCACAATTTCCTCATCATCTTGTAATCTAGTATATATAATCAAATATACAGAGTATAGAAAATTTATATACACACACACATTGTATTTTTAACACACATACATTGTATTTACAATCCAAAATGACAAGTTCCTGAAAATCATTCTGAAACATATTGGACTGAAGTAGTAGTAGGCTAAATTGTAAATGTCAAGGTCATTGTAGAGCATTTAGTTCCTATACTGTAAATGAATATTAGAATTCGAGTTGGAATTAGAACCTGGATTTCTACAAGCTTGTCACTTCCTCTTTCATTATATTGAAAGTAAAACTTACTAGGATTATATTATGAACCTAATATATTGAAAGTAAAACTTGAAGATCGATGAGGAAGAGTAAGTTGATCTGGGAGTAATTCTTTAATTTTCAATGAAAGGAATCCTTAAATTGAAGCAAGAATCTCTATGATCATAAGTAATTTTGGTAAGTAATCACAGTAGTGTTTAATTTATCATCAATCTCAGTATATGTTTAATTTATCATCAATCTCAGTGCTCTTAAAGCTTGCCAATGGAGATTGGCATATAATTCTAGATTTTTTTCTTGTAAACATCATTTTACAAATCTGTTTGACAAAAAAAGTTCTTGCATTTTGTTAAACATGGGGGAATATTAGTGAATTTTTAACTTTTTTTCTCTATTGAATTAATATAATACTATATTTGGGAGTAATTGAGGGTCTACTTGGTTTGTAAAATTGCAATTGCACATTAAATTCCATCACATAATTTAATTTCAAATCAATTAAGGAACCCTAGTACTATTTTTATGCAGGTGGTGGATTTTACATCTTAGATGTGATTTTGGTATTGGAGTGAATTGTTCAAAATCTCACCTTCTGTTGTTAAAATTTCTACTTTGTGCTTTAATTAACAAATTAGATGACTTGATGATAATTTATTTGTGTAGTTGATTGAATCTAACCATCAATAATTCAGGAAATTAGCAAGAATTTCCATGATAGGGCATTTGATTTCCGTGGAAACAAAACTAATTCATAGTTCATAAATGATAAACAAAATTAGTTCATAGTTCAAAATTATCTGCTTGAAATATTTTTGGCTGATCTAAGAAAGAAATTCTTAGCAAAATGTTTGTGTTTGATTCATAAATGATAATCTTGTTCTTTCGCTTTTTTATTAGCATTCTGAATTTGAGACTTGTGTGATGCAGCTACTTTCGTGGATTTTGTACCGTGGATTTTGCAGCTACTTCCTTAGATTTTGTACCGTGGATTTTGCAGCTACTTCCTTGGATTTTGTACAGTGGATTTTGCAACTACTTCCTTGGATTTTGTACAGTGAGGTGGTTTTTTGACAAGTGCAAACTGAAACTCAAGTGCTAGAAGGTTTATCAATTTTTCAATAGAAGTGTTAGGAAATTGATGATTTTCTTGACAAATGGATTTACTTCCTGTTTTGGAACATTGATAAATATTGAATTGTTTTGGCACATTGATAAATAATGAATTGTAAAAATATTTTAATTTTTTTGATATGTTTAATGGGATATGTTTTTTGAATTGAATTATAGCTAAAAGTGATATGAATTACAGGTTGGGGATGATTGATTAACTGGCATTAATTAAGGGTGCTTTATTTATAAAAATATATAGATATATATTTTATTTACAGGGACCTTGAAACCCTGTAAATAGAAGGTCGTATATTAGTGAAAATCCCCGTAAATAACTTTTCTATGGCATACATGGCACCTCGTGAGAATGGTTTATATTGTAGAATTTCTATGACATGTGTCAGTGTCTCGTGAGATTATTTATGGGTAATTAATATTCGCCATAGAAAACATTTCTACGGCATATGTTGGTGCCTTGTGAGATTATTTATGGGTAGTTACAATTCGCCGTAGAAAACTTTTCTACTATTTATGAATAGTAACAATTCGCCGTAAAAAAACTATTCTACAGCATGCGTCGGTGCCTCGTAAATTAATTATTAACGGGAAAATATCTATGGTGTAAATAAATTTAATATATAAACAGAATTGTTTTCTATGGCAAGTCTATTATTTTTCTACGAGATAGATTTTTTCCCGTAAAAAAATTAAGTATTTACGGAACCCTCATACACGATGCTCTCTAATGCACTGTGAATAAGTTTTCACGGTGCTTTTGGCCCCTCGTAGAAGCCCTTTTTTCTTGTAATGTATGGCAAAGAATGGCCGGGACACAAGTATCCGAAGTGAGTGGTATAACACCCCTAAACTTGGGATTAACTGTGGTCCTGAAAAGATGGCACTAAGATAAAACCTCATCAGATAGCAAATGAGATAATAATGGTGCACAGTGGGCATGCTAGTGCAAGTATGATAGTAAGTGAAATAAAGAGAGAGGAATAAGGGTGGTCCTGAAAAATTTGGGCAGCACTCTCTCACTGAATTCACTGGGATGCACCTGATAATGGAGTCAATCATAAATAGATATATCATATTAATAATCTAACATCCAAAAATCGCATGCATAGATAATAGAAGAAAAATAATATAGAGTACATCACAGTATCGGGCCAACAGACTGGCCACAAAAATATAATATCAGTATCAAAGTAATAGAAAAAATAACCGATATATATGATGATAAAGAGAAAGTGATTAGCCAGAGGAGGTCAGTCTAGGGGGCGTGAACCTCGGATATCTCTGGAAATGCCCTATAGTGCAATCAGTACATCAGCTTGGAGAGTAGTCACATCCGTGCTGAGAGAGGCCACATTTGCTCGGAGGGAGACTACGACATCCTCTAAGGTCTAGATACGCTCCCCCAAGTCGGGTGTCTGAGCTAGAGCGTCAAGAATAATGAGATCGGGAGACTGATGCTCATCATGACTCTGCTCCTGAGAATGAAGTGGAGACCCCACCGGAGAATAATGTGGTGACTCCTCTATAGGCTGCTGCTTCAAGTCTATCTCCATATGTGCACCTGCAACCACCGGTGCGTCTACTGGATCATTTGCTACTGCTGCTGCTGCCGCCTCTGCCTCCTCGGCTGCCAAGACTACCTCATCCTCTAGACTCTTAATAAGAGCATTGTAGCTCTTATTCTAGTCCTTCTTGCCATAGTGGCAAGTCCCTGTCTCAGGATGCTAGTCCGGGTGGAAAGGATAGCACTAGTCCTGGAGGATCTGAGTAATCAAATGCGCAAAGGGGAGGAACTTGCCCCGCCTGGGCTTAGTTTTTGTGACGGCCCAAGTTTTTCAACCTGGTGCGTCAGTGATGAACTGAAGGAATGACCCGATAATGGATCTGAAATGCGGAAGTAAAAGAAGAAGAGTGACCTCCATAGATGTTCATCATCCCTAAGGCACCAAAATGACTTCACATGAAGCCATGGAACTCAAATGAGGCAAGCAAATGAAGCAAGAATGCCTAAGCTGAAAGGAAACAAATAAAGGGCAAAATGGTCATTTCACACTAAAATGGGTGCCACCGTGCACACCATTGGAAAGACAATGAAAAATGAATGAAGTTAGAATCAAGAATTGCCTGATTCTGAGTCAAGACGAAAAAGATATGAATTTAAAACAAAGTGGCCTTCTCCGTTTAAGAGTTACCCCGAACCTATCTCACTAAAACTGGAATAACTCACACTAAAAATGAATTTTTAATGAATGGTTAGTACCATTAGAAAGCTAACTTCAAGATCTTGAATTTAGACTAAAGAACGGCCCAATTTGGATTTAAAATGAAAGAGATATGATCTCCTAAAGTTGGTGTAACAAAGCTGTCCAAGAGAACTAAGAAGAAAAGGGTTCCAGGGAGGATTGGTCAACCGAACCCTAATCATCGATCGGCCAAAATGATGATTTTCCTAAAAATCCTACTGGAATGGACCCTCGAGCATGTATCAGCCAACCGACGATGCTCGTTAGCTGACTGACGCCCCTGCTACTGCAATCTAAAGGCTGCTGTAGAGTGCTCAAAACTCACTCAGCCCAACCTTAATGAAACGTATGAATTCCATTTGATTCAAAACATGTTTCAAAACATACCAAAGCCACAATTAAGCATTTATAACATGCTAAACCAAAAAGAATCATAAACCATGCTCCGATACATGAGTTTTTCATAAAAATCCATAAATCATTCCAAAAATAGGTCAAAAGTTGCAACTTAAGTACTTTATGAAATATGAACATGCACGCATAGGTAAAATGACATTTTAGATGCGTTACAATGGCCTAAGGCCTCAAAATAGTCCCAATGTAAAATATGACCTCTCAAACCTCAATTTCATACAAAATTACCTTAAAAATATGAAATACAACCCCATGGCATATAAATGAAAACGAAATGGCGTTTAGCCCTTGGCCACACCTCATACATATCAAAAGAATACTACAGGATGAATTTCATACATAAAGCACACTCCAGTGCAAAACAACATGCTAAAACACATGCTTTTCCATATATTCTCATTAAGGGCAAGATACAACTATATGAATAATCATTTATTTCAAATGAAGCTTGGCCCTTGGCCTCATATCATATACATAAAATGAGAATCAAAAAGTGTTCTTAGGCACACATTACAAGTTTAACAATCAAATATATACATTTGACAAATAAGGCTACTAAGGGCATTTCAAGCCAACCTTCACAAGAATGGATCCTTTGAGTCCAAAATTCATCCAAGCATAATGAGAATCTCAACCTTGATTCTTGTACCTGAAAAATGTCCCCACTACGTGGGTGAGTAACATAAAGCTACTCGTAGGAGATAAGCATGCAAGGACCTAACATTTTACAATAATATCACCTTAAGGTGAAACATGTTAAAGAGGCTCATACCACCTAACGTCTATGTCAAAGTAAGACCCAGGGAGCATCCTAAGCCACCTTAGAACATTTCTAGCATAAATCACATCATACATGCAATTTCAACAACATAGAAACATGTTATACAAGGCAACGAGATATAGATTCTCAAGGTTATCAACTTGAAACCTAAAATGCGAAAACAACCAAAGTAGGTCATGCCACCTAACGTCTATGTTCCAAATGATTCTATAGAATCATTCCTAAGTTACATTTGAACATATATCATAGATGTACTTAACAATATCAAAGTTTGCAATACCTCATTAAAATCAGAAAGCATAAGTGTACTTAACAACATTTAAACCTGCGATGATTCATTAAAAATCATAATGCAGAATGTACTTAACAACATTTAAAACCTGCGATGATCGATTAAAAATCATAATACAGAATGTACTTAACAACATAAAATCGCCAATAACCAAAACCACAAGTCACAATTAAACATTGGTTGTCAACTTGGAATTGAATGCGAAATCAAATAGTGGAATACTTAGACATCATGCCTTGGATAAAGCCAAGACCTACGGTTATTCCGGGCATTAACCCGCTAGGAATACCACCCTAAGTGCGCACTATAAATAGGGAGAACTCATACTTCACGCACTGGAGCCAAACTCTAGCCATGTCTCAGTAACAAATGTCCCAAGTGACTCCAAAGTAAATAAGTTAACAACTTATATACGAAATATATATATATAGCACGAAACTATATTCCAGGCACAAGTAGGTTAAAACCGTACAATACATGCTCTAAATCCACAACTACTATAGGATGACAGTGTCGAATCTATATTTTATTTCATGGGTTTTTAAGAAAATATTTTTGGAAGATATTTTCATTATGGGTTATTGTGAAATTTTCACTTTTTGGAGGGGCCATTGTGCAATTAAGGAAAGTTATTGCAAAAATGCCTCGTTTTGAGCCTGAATCCTCGTACGGGATTCATTTTCACTTTTCATTGAGTCATGTACTCTTAGAATTGTCTTCTGGTCGTTTCCCCCAGTTGCAGGGTTTCTGGCCCCGGTTGCTGAACTTCTTCGGGGCATATCTCTCTGCTCGGGATTCAGTTTTTGATGCCATTTCTTCCGTTGTTCATCTTTTCTCATTTTGGTTCTTTTTCATTCATGGAGTTTTGCTGTTTGAGCGCGTCTACACGAATTTCACTTTTTCGGACCCGGCGGGGCATTTTCGGGGCACTTTTAGGGTTTTATTATAAATAGAATGCCTTAAACTAAAAAATCACTTTTTCAACTTCTTCCTCCCTCTCTTGGCTGGATTTAATTGCAGCCAAGGGTTTGCGACCTTCTCTCTCTTCTTTTGAGCTTCCTCCCCTTGTTAAAAAGTCGTAGTACCTTTGTGTTTTATGTTTGTCTTGACTACGCGCATCTTTCCCCCTTATTAGAACCCGTTTTTGGCCATTTTTTGAGTTCGGGTTTGAGGTCAAGTTAAAATTTTGGTAGGTACTCTTTAGAGTTATGTTCACAGCATTGTTCCCGACAAAACACTGAAGTATTGTCGGATTCGGAGCCGTTTCATTTTGGTGTGTTTTGAGATTTTCATCTCAAATTGAGGTAGGGGATGTTATACGTTATTATTTTTGTTGTCTTGCATGCTATTGATGCTTATACAACTTGTTTGCATGCTTTTGTTCATAATCTAGAAT